AAATCTTGAGCGAAAAGTTGAATCATTGTTTCGAAAAAAGGTATTCAGTGTTTTTTTTCTTCGAGTTATTTTTCAATACATTCTAAAAATCAATAAATTCATTTTCAAAAACAAAAACAGCATGATATCATAACAATTTTCAAATATAAGTTGTTTATCGCTTTGACAAAAATGGCGGCTGTTTAAATTCATTTTTCAAAAATTTTGTTTTTTTTCTGCCGGGCCGCCGGGCCGGGCCGGGCCCTGAAAATTTTCTCTCGGCCCGGCCCGGGCCGCCGGGCCGAACCGGGCCGGGCCGAAATTTCACAAGTATGAAAAAATTATATGAGATAAAAACCTAACTACTGTTTAACACCATATTGACTAGCTCAGAAGGTATATTATCTTCTGAAATTTTTCAGTATATTCAACTTTGACAAAATTTCCTAGATTAATATTTTCAACTACTTATAATCTTTTCATATTTTCCGGAAGTTGGTTTGGTTGGAGAAACAGAACGAGCATTGGAGCTCATGTGAAGAATAGGAACACCCCTCTACCTGCCTTTATGGACACGGAGAGCGCCTACCGAAATCTCCATCATGGAGAAATACCCTCTGTTGCACTGTTTCGCTTCAAATTCTTCTATGGAGGGTGCACCAGTACACTAGAGAAGGGTTGAATGCAGTTAGGAGAGTTTTGGGGAATTTAGCCAACGATCGAGGGTTGGCTTCCTTCACTCTAGAAGAGTTTCTTCGAGATAGTCCTTTACCCCCGTTCTTCACATCCGATATCCTTCACCACTCTCTTTTTTCTGTATTCTATTCTCTCTATTTTATTTCAATTAAATCAATTTTATTTCAATGTATTTTTCAAATAAAATGGTATTCAGAGAATAATGAAAGTGAGTACCATTCGCGAAAGATATGTTAAATAATATTAAACTTGGAATTTTTTGAGAATGTGTGAAAAAAAACAGAGAAAGAGACGTGCATACATTTATTAATTAAGAATGATACGCATATGCGCTCTAATGAGAGCGAGAGAAAGTAATCGTATGTAGTACACTATCATGAGTGAGACGGAGAGAACAAATATAAGTTTTATACCACAGAAAAATCAAAATAAGAAACTTCCGCTGACAAATGCATGATTAGAATTCCATTAGCTTTACCGTCTGCTCTAGAAAAATTAAATTTCCTTCCATGATCTCGGATTTCTTTGAAGCGAATTCCACAAACAACATCGTTTCCGTCAAGCAACTTTGGACATTGGATACTTAAATGCTCCAAATTCGGAGTTGCTCCAAGAATCCATAACTTCAAAAATCTATTCAACTCTTTTTCGGTTAAAATTGATCCGTATATATGAATGTTTTTACTGTTGGTTATCAACAAATCGTTCAGTTCGAATCGAATTCCAGGCCAAATATCAATCGAATTCCGATTTTGAATGAAAATCTTTTGAATGTCATCGTTGTAATGGATTCTTTTCCAGCATCAAACGTTCCGAATGAATCGGAGAGTTCAAAATGGAAACGTAGATTTGATTTTCAACAAGAGGTTTTACGATAAGGGTCTTAACACGATTAGTTCCAAAAAACTTGAAGATCAAATCGAGGTTGAAGTTGTTGCAAGAAATAGAGAAACGGAGAATATCGATTTTTGATGTGTTCAAAATGTAGAGGAGATGTTTGAGTTGATAAAATAGTCTCTTTTCTGGAGTTTCCGCTTTAGAAGCATCGAAATCAAATTCCAAAAATATGTAGTGATCGTTGAACGCACATTCCAAAGAAATTGATGATTCAATATTCACTTTTAACGAATTCATTGAAACAACTTTGAGATTGGAAATGTCTTTTTTGCAAAGCTTGGAGCAGTATGAGAAGGCGAATCTGAAAAAAGAATCCAGTTTTAATTAAGAGTACTATCAGCAGTGATGATTTCTATCAGGATCCGGATAATAACCTGATTGGATAATAGCGAAAGTTGGCTTTACTGGTATAACTTTCGAAAAACTGACAACGAACATTTCAACGAGAATAAAAACTCACTGGTCCTTGGACTCCATTAACTTAATCACTTCCATTTGGTCTTTTGTCGGTAAACATCGAAAGCGGAACCTTCCGTTTTTGGTTTGAGTGACATCCACCATCATGAATAGAATATCTGAAACAAACCCTGTCAGTAAGAACACAGAAGTACAGTAATTACATGCCGTGAACACGCAAAAGATGATTTTAATGAAAGGATGGAAGGGGGCACTTTGTTGGTGGGGTCAAGACCTATACCAGTTTCCCAGAATGATGTCCGTCTCCAAAGTCTTCTTGTATCTCTCACCTACTATTTGCACAAGATTCGGAGAATGTGAACACCGTTGCCTTCTGGGAAAGGTCATTGTGTCTTTTATTTGTGCCCATCACACATCAAATGTCCACAAGACAGATTATCAAGTCTTTCATCTTCAAATGCCCCATAATCCCATCACTCTTTTTTTTCCCAGAAGCACGTAAGACCTATTCATCTGTTAATCTGATGGTTATTGTCTCCTGAAACCATCTGGGCGTACCCATCTGTCCAGCCCCTATTAAAAAGACCCAGCAGATTCCCTGAGTCATTGGCATTCGATGTTCTATCTGATGATGTGGATTGTCTAGGTCTAGCTAGACTGGTTAGGCCAGTCTGAGCTGTTATAGAGCTATTCATGCCTAATTGAGAGTGGTTTGATTTCTCTCTATACGATCTGGAACCCCGATTGGGATCCTCAATTGTATTTTCTTGATTTTTCTGAATATTCTATAAGACAGCTGTTCTTCATATTCTGCTGCTATCTAAAATTTAGTTAATGACGCATAATGGTGAATGGTAATTTGAAAACGATTTTCATCAGTAATCCTATCAGTAATATGACCGTGTATTCACACCAACCAAAGGCTTTCAACCTGGAGACGGAATCAGAAGGACATTTTCCTATTTGTTCAACCACCCTGATAATTATGGAAGAAGGGCCCCTAGTCTACCTTTTATCGAATATTATAAACCACAATTCCTGTCCGATATGAATTTAAAACATGAAACGAGGAGCACGAGGACACACCTTTCAATTTCAAGAAAACAATTTTCAAATACTGCAAGAATGATGTGCAAATCTTGGTGGAAGCAGTTGTCCAATTAAAAATCCTCAAAAATGTGAGTAAAAATTCATGAAGTCTCGCAAAATTTTAGTTTTTCAGTGTCATGATGCATACCGCCTGAGGCCAAGAGACGCAATGTATGGAGGAAGAACTCAACAATTTTAAAAGTTTTGTCAAGGCCTGCTCAGAAGGAGTTTCATGCTTATCAAAAACTGCTGCCATCACCGCGGACATATATCATATACATCCAACCTGGTTCGATAGAAGTGGAACACGATGACGAGAAGATCGATTGCAGATTAATGTCACTGAGATTGAAGAAGAAGGAGTTTCAACTTATGAAGAACGACAGTTGATATTCATTGCCGGAGACATTTATGCCGGAGTCAAGGACTCTTCGTTTCCAATGATGTTAGCTGTCTCCTTTGTAGCCAGTATACGTTCTCGGAGAACCATGATTGTCGACGGTGTAACAAGTTGGTTTACGAGTTGGTATTTCATCGCTATGGCTAGTATCGTCATCGTTGTGCTGATCATCGTTGGAGTAATTTTCGTCAAGTTTTACTTTGAAAGGAAAGTAGTTACCATTCTTCTCGGTATTAATTCGGCCATTACGACATACATTTGTTTTAATGATTGTCCTAATAGAACATTTCTTCCCAAAAATTACCAATTTTGAATTGTATGACCCTCACCCCAACCCAACACCGTGTGAGCCTTAAGCGACGTCGGCAAATAAAGTAAACTTGGCAATTTTGGTAATTGATAATTTGTATTTTTGAATTATTTGATATTTGAATTAAAGTATGTTTTCTGAATTTTTCTAAACTTCTTAATAAAATTTTTCTCAAAAATAACAATTCTTTCACTAGAAGTTCTGCACAGCGATTTTTCAAACAAAAAGTATTTTAGAAATCCATAGTTTCAGAAAAAAAAAACAAAAATCAGAAAAAAGATTCTCTGACTGAAATTCTGAAATTCTGAAAGACTGAAATTTCAAAATTCAACAGTTTTTGATTTTCAGGATTTTCGAGCCCAAATCTTCGAATTTCGATTCTCAATTTCCCAATTTTTGACATGTTGAGTTTTTTAATTTCTCAACTTTTGAATTTTCAAGTCTTTTAATTCTCGAATACCCCAAATCCCGCGACTCTCAAAATTTTGATCCATCCCAGAGACACACACACATATACACTCATATGCATGTGCACATTTACGAAATTTCACGTCTTCCATTTCCCCTTCTTCCCGTCCCTCTTTTATATGTCTTCTAATTAATTCCTGACACGCACACATACATATATAATCGCATATACGCTTCTCTAGCGTCCCTCACTAATAAGAAGATCACGAATATATTATTCCTTCCTACTCTTCAGAATTCATGTGTGTGTGAGATAACATGGAGAATGAAGAGACGTAGCGGGAAAAGGGCCACCTGCATATGTGATGCTTGGAACAGCTACTGCTTCACCCCATTTCTATATTTATTCTCCTTCTGACGACTCGAATGAATAGACGTCTTCCTCGAAAATTTTCCAAAAATCTTGTGAATGAATGGATTTTTGAAAGTTCTACACTATTTTTCTGAATATTCTCTATCTCTTTATTATTTCCATTATTCCTAGAAATCCTGCAATTCTTTTTCGTATTATTCAATTGTTTAAATTTTGGGCATCAGGCTAGTTTTATCGAATTATATACTTCTAGTGTTTATCCGTATGAATTTCGGACCAAAAATGCAAGTTTTGAGCATAAAATTTCCACATTTGTCATTTAAATTTCGAATTTGATCAATAAGGAAAACAATCAAAATTCAAAAATGAAGACTTTCAAACAAACAGTAGTAAGTACCGTATTTTCTCTCAAAAGCCTCTTACCGAGCACTTTTTTAAAAAGTTGATTTTAGATCTAAAATATTGAATTCCGGCCCAAAATATGATTTTTTAACTTCAAACGATTATTTCAACCTTGCAAATGGTTTAAGTTAGGCAAAATACTAGTTTCGCTTTTTTCAATTTTAGAATATCAAAATCGAAAGCGAAAAATTCTCAAATACATATTTTTCTAGCCTCGGTGTTACAAGACTTGAAAACTTGTTCTTTAGGAAATGCGGTTCTATTATGATGAGGAAACACGGCCATAATCAATCATAATGGTGAAATTGGAATGCAAAAAATTGAAGGATCCCTGACGGTGACACCATTCATTCTCAACACTACGTCCAAAATACTTGATAGAGCTACATCAGACGAATCGCCATCAGGAATGTATAAGCTGAATCCCTTCGACAAGAAGAAAACTTCAAAGAGAATGATAATGAAAGAGAGCTATTATAAACTGGAGACACCCGCGGAAATACTTCTGATTCCTCTAAACGTGTTGAGAAATCTCAACTAGCCAACGCGTCAAGCTATTTGGCAAAGAAGTTTGACAGCAGTAAAAGGACACGAGTACCTTCTCAACAAAATTTGAATGAAAGCAAACCATTTTGAAGTGGGGATAATGACTTTGTTTTAGCATTCAAAACATTCACTTTTTTTCAGCAAAAAGTAAGCCTACTGTGGTGGACGAACCTTCAGATGACGGATACAAGAACGTAGACGCAGTCGAAAAGTTATTATTGTTCTCAATTTCGTTTTTATAGAATTTTATAATTTGCATCACTTATTGTTAATTTTTTAAAAAAGTCACAAATAAATTTAATTGAGAGAAAAATATTGTATTAGAAACATAGATAACACCAGCTTGATACTTACAGACACTTATTCTACACTGTTAAGTGCATACTCTTGCTCTGAAAAAATACTTCCATCAACTTTCCTGTCCAAAATTTGATTGTTTTCCTCTCGTTTGAAGAATCAATAGTGTTTCTTATCTTTTTTCACATTTTCTGAAAGATTATAACAGTATTATCGAAGATTTAGAATAAATAAGAGGAATAAATGTTTGCGATAACAACACTGAAAACTCAAAAAGTGACACAATCAAAAGTCTTCAAACAATATTGTTTTTTCAATGCGATTTTTTTCTCTGCTCGAATCTACAAAAATTTTACGATCATTTTTAGAATTCATCGCTGTTTGTGTACCAGACATGAGCGGAATTCCATATTCCTTATTCCTTATTCCTTATTCCGGGTGTTTTTTCTATTCCTTATTCCTTATTCCTTATTCCGGATTTTAAATTTTTCATTCCTTATTCCTTATTCCTGTTTTTTTGTTATTCCTCTTCAAAAATTTAAAACTTTTTCTATCAAAAATCAGAAAAAAATTCTCAAAACTGGGAAACAAATTTGAACGCTCTAAATTGCCGCGTAAAATTTTGTTCAACGGAGCACCTTTGCACCGTTTTTCGGAAAATATTTTTTTGGAAATCTTGGAAAAGTTATGCGTTTTTCTCAGTGTTTTTTTCGAAATAAATTTAGTTTTTACAATTACTAAATACTTCAGAAAAAATGTCTAAAAAACGGAGCAAGTTTGACGAATGCTTCGTCAGAACAGAAAACGAGGCAACTTGTAAAGAATGTGACGCGAAAATTATTTGGACAAAAACGAGTGGAACGAATTCTGCTTCTTATCATTTGAGCAGATATCATCCGAAATTAGGTGAAAAGGTTTTTTTTTGTCAATTTAAAAACGTGAAATTGGGAAATTTCAGATGAAAAATGATGCAATTGGCGAAAAAAAACGGAAAGATGAATCGAGTTAGCATCGCGAAAACAGAGTACAATTCCGTTTCCTGTTGACACCACTATTTCTTGTCGAAGCTCTTCTAGTATTTCATCCGTTTTTTTGGAGTCAAAACTATCGAAGTTGGATACAGCTGTTATTAAAATGATCTGCTGCGATAATCAGCCTTTTTCGATCGTGGAAAATATGGGATTCAAAAATTTTGTGAATACTTTGGCTCCCGGCACGAAGTAATTGAAAGTTTTTTCTTCAAAAAAAACTCAGTTTCCAGGATAAAAAGCCGATATTTCTATTCATCGAAAGGACTGGATCTGTTGGTGGCGAATTTGGAAGAACAAGTTAAATTGGATCTGAAAAATGCCGAGGAATTATCTATGACGTCAGACGGATGGAGCTCCCAAGACAAAAAGCATTCACTGCTTTCCTTGACAGGTTTTTAGTGGAGTTTTCGATTCAAAACTATAATGATTTCAGCTCATTGGATTCACAAAGAAACATTCCAGCCATGTTTCGCAGTACTTGGAAGCAGGTCAGTATATGGAAGACATACGGCTATAAATTTTTCAGAGCTAATTACAAAAATTTGGACAAATTCAATATTGATAAGAGCAGTGTTGTTTGTATAACTCGCGATGGGGCGACTACAATGAGCTCTTTATGCTCAAATCTGAACATGAAAAGCATTCACTGCTATGCTCATCTTCTACAGCTGGTAAATTTTTCTTAGTCAAAATTGAACTGCCGAATAAAATAAATTTTTCAGAGCGTGAAGGATATGCTCGATTCCCGAAAAGAATTGGATGAAATTGTGGAGAAAATGAAGAAAATTACTCGTAAAATGGGCCGATCGGGAATTGCTCAGGAAGCGTTTAAGAGTATATTAAATGAAGAAGGGTTGCCATCGAGAATGCTAAAAAAGGTTAAAATTCATATTGTAATTAGTTCAAATATTTTGTTTTAGTCGACAGAAGTTCGCTGGAGCAGCTTGTTGCTAATTATTCGATCCTTCATTCAGAATAAGAAAGTGGTGGTTCTCCTAGGAGTTGATTATCCCGCAATAGGGTATGTTGGCGCTCAGATTTCATGGATAATAATATTTTGTTATTCAGATTCCCATTGTTTTCTACCAGTGATTGGGAGCTGCTCGAAGCAGTTGAAAAAGTACTGTCTCCAATTGCAGAAACGACAAAAAGCGCTCAACACCGTTACTTGGCAACGGCTAGTGTCATTATACCTTCTATATGCTTACTAATGTCCGAATTGGACGAGTTTAAGGATTCGTGAGTTCTGAAATGAATAACTCACAAAAAAGAATATAAAAATTTTTAGAGAAGTTGAGCATGTATCGGATTTGGCGGAAAATTTGAAAAAATCAATACAACATCGTTGTGGGAAATACAAACTTGATGATATGCTCCGAACCTCCACTTTCCTCGATCCGAGGTTCAAAGATATGTTTTTTACGAGTTCGCATAAGGTACTGAAAGCAATAAAAAACGCTGTGTTGAAACCTTTTTTTAGGATTCAATCATTCGGCAACTTCTGAAAAAGGATGGAAGTGTGTCTGAAACTTCTGGAAAAGTCGATGATGTTGTTCCTCAAGTCAATGAGACTCTATCGGCATATGATAAGTACTTGTTGAAGCATTCTCAAAAAACTCCAGAACCTTCACCCATGAGTACTCAAGTGGAAGAAGTTAGTTTTAAGTTTGGTTTTGGAAATTAGTGATTATTTCAGGAAGTAACTCGATATCTACGCTCTCCGCCTTCTAGAAACATCAACCCATACACCTTTTGGCAAAATGGAAATCTTTGGAAATCTTTGGCCCGGCCCGGCCATGCCCAGCCAGGCCCGCGGGCCGGGTCCTGATTTTGCACGTATGATTAAAACATGGGCACGCGTAAAAAATTCAAAAAAATTGAATTATTTTGGAAAATTTAGCGAAAGAAGATTTCACGTTTTGGAAAAAAACTTTTTACAGTGAAAAAAAAACGGAGCAAAGAGATAAGAATCGGCCAGAGTTTTTTGCATATAAGGGAAGAGAAAAACAGTGAGAATCGTCAGATCCCGATTGGGAACTGGTATGCAGCTGGAAGGAGCTCTGGGATCCGGAGCTTTGGGAGCCGAAGCTCTTAGAGCTGGTGCTGGTCAAGGTGGAATCGGAGAGTCGGAGCTTGTGGAGGTGGAATCGGAGATGGTCGAGGTGGAATCGGAGGATTGGAGCTGGTGGTGGTAGATGCGGGGCTGGGAGAGGTGGAATCGGAGAGGTGGAATCGGAGATGGTGGAGATGGAACCAGAGCTGGTGGAGGTCGAATAGGGGCTGATAGATGTCGAAACGGAGCTGGTGGAGATGGAATCAGAGCTGGTGGAGGTGGGATCGGAGGTGGTCGAAGTGGAATCGGAGGATCGGAGCTGGTGGTGGTAGATGCGGGGCTGGGAGAGGTGGAATCGGAGATGGTCAAGGTGGAATCGGAGGATCGGAGCTGATAAATGTCGAAACGGAGCTGGGGGAGGTGGGATCGGAGCTGATGTAGGTGGAATCGGAGCTGGTGGAGGTCGAATCGGAGGATTGGAGCTGGTGGTAGTAGATGCGGGGCTGGGAGAGGTGGAATCGGAGATGGTGGAGATGGAACCAGAGCTGGTGGAGGTCGAATCGGGGCTGATAGATGTCGAAACGGAGCTGGTGGAGATGGAATCAGAGCTGGTGGAGGTGGAATCGGAGGATCGGAGCTGGTGGTGGTAGATGCGGGGCTGGGAGAGGTGGAATCGGAGATGGTCAAGGTGGAATCGGAGGATCGGAGCTGATAAATGTCGAAACGGAGCTGGTGGAGGTCGAATCGGGGCTGATAGATGTCGAAACGGAGCTGGTGGAGATGGAATCAGAGCTGGTGGAGGTGGAATCGGAGGATTGGAGCTGGTGGTGGTAGATGCGGGGCTGGGAGAGGTGGAATCGGAGATGGTGGAGATGGAACCAGAGCTGGTGGAGGTCGAATCGGGGCTGATAGATGTCGAAACGGAGCTGGTGGAGATGGAATCAGAGCTGGTGGAGGTGGAATCGGAGGATCGGAGCTGGTGGTGGTAGATGCGGGGCTGGGAGAGGTGGAATCGGAGATGGTCAAGGTGGAATCGGAGGATCGGAGCTGATAAATGTCGAAACGGAGCTGGTGGAGATCGAATCGGAGCTGGTGGAGGTCGAATCGGAGCTGATAGATGTCGAAACGGAGCTGGTGAAGGTCGAATTGGAGCTGGTGGAGGTGGGATCGGAGCTGGTAGAGGTGAAATCGGAGCTGGTGGAGATCGAATCGGAGCTGGTGGAGGTCGAATCGGAGCTGATAGATGTCGAAACGGAGCTGGTGAAGGTCGAATTGGAGCTGGTGGAGGTGGGATCGGAGCTGGTAGAGGTGAAATCGGAGCTGGTGGAGATCGAATCGGAGCTGGTGGAGGTCGAATCGGAGCTGATAGATGTCGAAACGGAGCTGGTGAAGGTCGAATTGGAGCTGGTGGAGGTGGGATCGGGGCTGCTGGAGGAGCGGTCGGAGGACAAATCTCGGAAAGCATCTCGATCAAACACACTTATCAAAGTGACTGAAAAAAGTTTTATTTTTGTCAGGTACTGTATCTGTCAACATTTAATGTTCCGACACTTAGGTGGTGAGCATGTGTCGGAGCGAAAGTACAAGGATAGGACATTAGTTCATTCAACAACTGATTTATTACTGTGAGAGGGCTCTGATTCGGGATCTTCGAAGCTTCTGTATTAGGGGAGTTTGCCGAGAGACGACGACCACCAGATGACGGTTCCAGATTGGAGAGAGAAGATAAACCATCCTTTGGCAGCGGGGAGGAGGTTGTAGCATGAAGATGAGGCATCGGTTGTTTGGCTCATCCGCGAGCATCAGCTGTTGGGATCCTTTGTCAGAGAGTCCAGTGTTGCGGAGATCCTTTGGAAGTGACCATTGTCTCAGATGTCTCATCATACTGACGATTCTGCTTCCTTTTATAGCATCTCCTCAGCATATCCACGATTATGCTCTAGATCTGATATGGTGATAAGGAAGTGATCACGCCAAATATGTAGCGTTAAATAGTTGGAGAATTGTGTTTATGACATTGTTTATGACTATTCTAGATGCGCTCTAGTATTGTTGGGTTTGAGGTCGTGCAGTAGAACCTCTGCTGCCTCGACATTTAAGACCAAACTTTTTTCCAGATTTCACTCCATTCTGTTGAACACTATGTACTATTTTGGGACCTACGCAACAACAGTTTTATCAGAAATGCAATGATAAATTTTTTCCAGTCCGCAGGGATATCAACTAATATTAACTATCTTCTCTTCATTTTTCATTTCACAGTTTGCAATAACTTTTCAGACAGAATAAGAGGACAGGACAACAATCAGCTCTATACATCCTTTTTTTTGTTATACACCTATTCATCCCTCAAGTTTTTACCATATGAAACTAATACCAAACCACTGTTCTCCTAACCTATGTACTGTCTGGATCTGGTTGTTTGGAAATTTTGACAACGAGCAATAATTTTCAAAAACATTGTTATTTTAAGGTTCAACTGCTGCAACAACTTCAGAACCAAGTGAGGATTCTATTGAATATAATATTCACATTGTCTTCTTTCAGAGCCAAGTGTTACTTGTCTGTTTATGGTAGATTTGCAGTCATGGGGAATTACCACAGCAGCGATGGCCACCTACACAAAAGTTAGCAGTTATGATAAATTCTCTCAAAACGTTCAATTTTAGTATTGGAATTTTGCAATGCTAGTCGCTTCCAAATTAAATGACTCAACTTTGTTTACTGGTTATCCTGATTCGTTTGGTTATGCCAGTATGTTGAACGATCACAGTGGATATCCAGTACTCAGTTACACCGATTTCAAGAATACTCCAATCCCAGTTGAAAATTTAGATGACGGTATTGACTTAGACCTCAAAGAGTGAGTTTTTCGAAAAGTACAAGAATTACAATTTCCAAAAATTATCAAGTTTTGCTATTTTCTATTGAATATAGCCGAGATAAAAAATTTGAAAAGGGGTTTCTGCCCTTTAGAATGGTACCAAACATTATTAGCATTTAAAAATAAAACTGAACACATCCGAAAACTTTGTAATCCACAATGTTTGAAGTTTTTTAAATTTCAGTGTTGATTCAACTCTGACTCAAGCTTCATGGAGGCCTCCAACCGAAAGCCAAACATGTTTGATTTTCTTTTCTGTTGCGTGAGTTTTTTCTTTTCATCCGGTAATCGACCTTTATTTAACAGTAACATTTATTTTCTTCTGGAATGATATTCCTGGATTTTTAGACCCGAAGTGGAATATGGGGGAACTACCATCAAACCCACTTATGCCAATTTCGCGACTGTTGTTGGCGTTCTTCTTGGAGGTACTTTCTCTACTGAGAACTACAATTACAATTACATTTTTCAGGTGCCCCATCCATTCCTGGATTAACTGATCCAGTCATTGTCAATTCTTTATCAAACTCTGACGCTCAATCGGTCGTCCAGAAACTGTTGGATAGTTTACCATGAAAAATTGTATCATCCCAAACACCATCCTTGTTTCCTGTGATACTTTTCAAATCCATAATTTTGTCAACATAAATGAATAGATAATACTGTTGTTATTTTTTATTTATTCATCTCAAAAATACATTCCTCACCATCTTTATCTCTAAACGACCAGACTCGGAGACTCTCTTCAAAAAACCTTGTTTAAAATTTTCAAATTTCTATGTAGTCTTCAATCTTCAAGTAGTTTTTGTCAGAATCAAAGACTGTTTGGCAGCTGCCTGAAATTCAAGTGATATTATTATTACTGTAATCAGGCTACATTAATGACAGACAAAAAGATCATTACACACATTAGAAGGGGAAAATATTAAAAAGTGGAAATAAGTGTGAACGTAGTTAATATATGTAGCTGTAGTTAATACTGCTGTCTTCAATAACAAAGCAAGGGCGTTTTTCAGTAAAAATCGTCATCTGTTTCATATTCTGATAAGATTTCAGCCTCCTGTTGCTGTGGAATGGGCTCATTGATGACTTTAGCCGGTTGGGTCGCTTCCCGATATCGATCACGTCGACGAGAATTCATGAAAAAGTTCTCCACTGTTTCCATACTGATTTCAAGATGATCGGCAAGCTTTTGTTGCATTTCGCGGGTTGGACGTGATGAAATTTTGTACATCGATTGAAGTGTCTGTTTCTGATGAGCAGTGAAAACGAAACGAGAAACTTTTGTTGGCTCGTTTTCATCAGAATTCATACGTCTGAAATTTAAATTATGATAAATTGAAATTAAATGAATAGTTTGTACCTCTTACGAGCTCCACTTGGAACTGGTGTTGGTGGAAGCAATCCTTGTGCTTCGGCAGCTTCTTCTGGCGACATATGCAGAATTCTGAGTCTGGCTGTAAGTGGTTGCTGCAACCATTTGTGCATTCGACGGAATGTTTCTTGTCCGGATTTCAGCATATTCCATGGTTTTGGATTACGGAGCAAGTCGGAGAGAGTTCCCTGACTGCGACACAATATTCTTTCGGCGAAGGTTTTTTGTGGGATCTGATGGGTCTTCAACTCGTTGACTACTCTCATGGCTATATCCTTTGTATCGATTTCTTCCTCGTTGTCAGAATTATCGAAACCTTTTTGAGCGGCTTGACGAGGTTTCCTCACTCTTTTGGGTTCTGAAAGAATTGGTACACTAAAAGAGATGAATAGTCTGATCTTAGTTTCCCGGGAGAATACTCTGTCATTCAGATAGACTCCTCTATCTGGCTATTTTACTCTCCCTCTTCCAATTTTCCATAAAACCCACTTACTTTGTTTAGATAGTGTCTTCATGGGATTCAATTGGTTCTCTTGTTCATCATACTTTGAAGATATCTGCATCGAATTTACAGCTGGTAAAACTTCATCGATATCGATTTGCTGATGTTGAATTATTGAATTTCCACTAAAATTGGCCGTTTTTTGTATGGAGAGGATTCCATTCTGATTAGAATTTTCGAGATCGCTGGATCCACCGAAATTTACGCCACTGCTTCCAGGAATCTCATCATTGGTAATTAGGTTCTCCTGAAAATATTAATAGTTTATTGTCATAGCTCATTTGATAATTCGAACCTCAGTTTCTGTTCTATTTTTGTAGTAATGCTGATTGGGGGTCTTAGAAGATAGAACACCGTTCGTAGACAAGTTTACTTCGCTTCTGAAAACAGAAACAGTTCAAAACTTGATTTTGAATCTTCCGGAACTCACTCTGATTCGTATACGATGTTCATGTAGGCAGAAATATCCAAATCAACTGACTCCCAAGAACTGAAATCTAGGGCATCGCTCGTTGGAGTGGTTTCCGAAGAAGATTTCGGACTACTCTCCTTCGGACTATCTGGGAAGTTCAAAAAGTCGTCAGGTAGTTCTTCTTGAGGTGGACCATATTTGTTGATGTATGTGCTCGAAGGATCTACTTGAAGATAGTCGACGTATTTCCCGTGCAAGCCCATTTTGGGTTATTCTGAAAAAAGATTAGGAATAAGAAAACATCTATTACGATGAATTCAAAACCAGACGTACAAACGGGAGATTATGAGGGGAATGAGAACGACTAACACAAGACCAACATGAAGAAAGATGAATGAATGATCGAGACTGGTCTAGTGACTTTAAAATTAGCACAACAGTCAATAATACAATAGATCTGTCATTTGGATGGCATGGTATTCTTCTGGGAAACTGGAGACGTCGTTGGAATATATGTATATGCACACATACAGACAGATGAAGTCTCCTGGGCAAGTAGCAGTGGTCATAATGAATGATGTCGTCCCAAAACGTGTTTGCGAGCCAATGGCCTTATGAAGATATTAGGAAGATGTGCTGACCAGTTAGTGATTAGATTTATCACAGAAAACGAGGGATAAGAAGATGCGACGTAAAAAACAGATTTCGAACATACAGTACACATATTTATTACACTACAACAGTTATCAGAACTCTGTTTGACGTCACTCTAAAAAATATGACAAACATGGATTTTTTGTTCAAAAACTGGTATTTCTCTTGAAACTCATAGAAAAAAATTGCTGTATTTAACGGGGAAGGAGAAGAAAGACTACAGATTGAGATGAAATCAATAAAGGTTCAACGATTGCGAATGAAGGGGGCGAGACTGGGCAACCGGCCAAGACAAGAGCCAGTCAGCAGAGGTCACCTGACACAGTTTTCTCCAAGGAAAATTGGGTCATGTCGTGATTCCCATACATACAAACGGATGAAGTAAAAAACCCAAAAACCGAAATCTAGGCAATGACCCAGAAAATGAAATCTATGTCATGACCCCCCTAGCGGCTCTGGTAGTAATCACGGCCGGCCGCGGCCGTGATTTGCACAGCCTTGGTTATGACCTAAAAAGATGATACTGAGACTGATGACATTAGAGAATTGTGATTAAAAAACACAAATAAATTTTTTTCAACAAAGTACGGAAGTTTATGTTTTTCAAAAAATTATAGAGGTGGAGTACGACATATTGATCCACGTTGACAGAAGACGTTATTGGTATCAATCCTGCAACTGAAATGCAGTGTGCCTTATCGACAAATGATTTGTCGACAAACGCGCTTTTCGACAAATTTATCGACAAATTTACCGGTAAATTTATCGGAAATTCGCCGATAAATTTGTCAATAAAAATGCTCTTTGTCGACATTTATCGACAAATTTATCGACAAATTGTCGACAAAAATTGCTATTAACCGCCGGAATTACTTGTAAAAATCGTATCGTTACCATTTTTTTCCTAGGACGTCTAGAATGATGGAAGAACTTACCCAGGCAAACCCTATATGCTATCTGGCTTGGTGGCCCAACTTTCACAACATGAATTTTCTAGGCCACGAATCTTTTTAGCCTAGAAATGATCTGATGTTCACTTGGTGTGTTTTTAGGTCATTTTAACATGGTGGCCTAACTTTCGCGCGTTGAGTTTTCTTGGCCTAGAAAACTCAACTTGCAAATGTTAGTCCACCACGCCAAAATGGCTCAGAAAATGTACCAGGTGAATTTCTGACCATTTCTAGGTCAAAAAGATTGGTGGCCTAGAAAACTCATATTGCAAAAGTTAGGCCATCATGCTAAAATGGCTTAAAACACACACCATGTTAACATAAGATCATTTTCAGGTCAAAAAGTTTGGTGGCCTAGAAAATTCATGTTGGAAAAATTAGGCCACCAGGTCAGATGGCCAAGAAAAAAGATGAGATACGGTTTTTAATTTTTTTTTTCAAGTAATTCCGGCTGTTAATAGCAATTTTTGTCGATAATTGCTCGACAAATGCCCCCTCCGACAAATTTATCAACAAAAAAAACCACAAATTTATCGACAATTTGTCATCAAAATTTTGTCTATAAATTTGTCGATAAATTACTTTCGACAATTTACCGATAATTTGTCGACAATTTATCGACAAAATTTTATTGTTTTTTATTGACAAATTTATCGATAATTTGTCAGGTAAATTTGTCGACAAAATCGGAAAATCTTTGTCGATAAGGCACACTGCTGAAATGTAAAGTACATTTCTTGTCGCTTTGGCTCTAAAACATTCGTTTTTTTCTTAATTTACCACCCTGTTTGCCGCGCCTCCGGCGCTTCAAACATCCGGAATTAACCTTTTTCTTTTACTGTTAGTCGCTTCGCGACTCACTTTTTTTAAAGGGCACGTGAAACTATATTTTATTTTCAAGCTTTTCAAAAATTTGCGGACAGACTGACAGAGAAACAGAGAGACGCAACTTCATTTATTTATTATAAGAATGATGATACCAGCCTGATTGCCGCGCCTCTGGTATTTCAAACAGTTGGCTGGTGGGCCTTCAGCGCGATTTCTTTTGGCTCACTATACTTTGGGAAAAAAAGAACAAACTCACGATTGCGTGTGAACCACACCTATGAGATTGCCCTTTGTCGCCAAATAATGACAAGCATCGTTGGCGTCTCGAACCGATCCATATCCGTTTATTGAACTTAACGAAGAATCAGAGAACGTGTAAGAACTTGAACCATCAACTCTCTTTCCATCAATCCAAAAGTTTTGATGAGTATAATCCGACTGTAAGTGGAAAGTTTGTCTGAAAACATTTGACTATTTTTCTGAACAATTATTCTTTTTTCAAAAAAAACTCACTTCCGAAAAGCTCTCTTTCCGTATCGGAATATGGCCTTGTCAAACCGGAATCTCCCGAATCTCGGCATAATTTTACACCCATTGCTTGATTTTGGCAGAAGAAACGGGGAAGAAACGAAACTGAAAATTATACTCACAATAAGAAAATTTTCAAGAAATGAATCTCACCGAAACACAAACATCAATTTTCCCTCTGGTTAATTTTAAAGAGTCCTTCGGGCAAATTGTTGGAGGTTTAAAGACCCATTTTGTAGAACTTCCACTTTTCAATTCTGTGTTCTGTCATTTCAATTCTGTCAGAAGCATATTTTAGCTGCATTTGTCCGAATGCCTTGAAACTTTGAAAAAGCCAGCGCATACAACGAAAATATTAATCAAAGCTGAGCAAGAATAAAACGTTTTCTAGATATTTTGCCTAGAACTCCAATGAGAGTAGCTCGGCTTTCATAAGCTCGGCTTCCCTGAACTTTCCCACAAAGTTTTTGTTATCTCATCTTCTTTAAGCTGTAGACCAGGAGGCTTTGAATACAGGGCCCAAAGCGCTGAAACTGTGAACGTTTGAAAATAATCTCTCTGGCATTCTAAACTGGAATTTTCGAATTTCCGAATTCAGTGTTTTGGTGTTCTGAAGTTCCGTTGCTGACTCTCTGAATTAACGAGTTTCTCTAATTCGTCTATTTTAGAGCACTCAAACTTACCAGCTTCAGATTTCCGAATATTTACATTCAGTATTTTTTGAAATATTGAACTTATAAAAATTTAGAGTTTCTAAATTACGGAACTTGAACCTTTCTAGATTTTTAAATGTTTCAAGTCTCCCTATTTTCAAATTTCGAACTAAAAATAAAGCTGATCGATTCCGTGCATTTGCTCATGAAAATAAAAAAAGAAAAATACGAGCAGGCTTTCTGAATTCCTTAAATTTTCCGGACTTAAAATTCTACGCATATTAGAGTTTTTGAATTTCAGATTTTCCGATATTCTGAACTTTGAAGGTTTGACAACGCAAAACATTTTTGGGCCAGAGAAGATCTCAATTTTCAAATGCCAGATATGCAGAAGTTTTGAAATTTGAAAATACAGGAATGAGAAATTCAAATGTTTGTCCATTCCAAAACAGAACATCAGAATTTCAGAAATCCTATGTAATTCAAAAGACAATGAAATTAAGAAATTTCAGCAATTTTTGAAAATTTAGGAAATTCGAAATTCGGACATCAGGATATTCAGAAAATGTCGAGTTTCAGAAATTTGAGACTTCTCAACTTCTCAATTTTAAAAGGTCTTCAAAAGGCCTTCAAAAATTCAAGGTTCCGCGAAATTTTTTTTCGAATTCTAATTTTTTTCAGATATCAAAAGTTTTAAGTGTTCGACTTTCTGACTGTCTGATATTCTAAACTTAAAAGTTTCTGAATTTCCGAACTTCTAAAATTTTAATTTCTGAGCGTCAGCTTTTGACTTTTATAGCAGTTCTTTTTTTCGAATTTCCAAAATATCGAGTTTCAAAATTTCAGAACTTTCGAACTTCTGAATTTTAAATTTTCTAATTTCAATTTTTTTGAATCTGAGAATTTGAAAATGTTGGGATACTTTTTTCGGGTGTTGTTTCCATATTTGCAAAGCGCCGTGCGGGGCTTTTCTCAGGATTTTTAAGGCCCGGCCCGGCAAACAAAACACTTTCCAAGTTAAGAGTTTTCACAAACAAGTTTGAAAAAACTTCTGAAATTTGTTTTTATGTGAATAACCCGCCCCCTGATTTTTGAGCATGGTTTTTTTTTATTGCAGTTTCAGAGCTTAATTAGAAAAAAATTTTGTCAATTACAAGTAAGCGGGAGCAAAGAGGTTAAATAAAAACTTCATCTTCTAATTTTCCCCAGTATTAAAATTTACACTTTTAAGATGAAGCCAGGAGATTGTAGCCGCCAATAGGCGGCGGAAATCGACTGGTTGTGATAAAAAACATAAATAAATCTTATTCAACAAAGTACTGAAATTTATGGTTTTCAAAAAATTATAGAGGTGGAGTACGACATATTGATCCACGTTGACAGAAGACGTTATTGTTATCAATCGTGCAACTGAAATGTAAAGTACATTTCTTGTCGCTTTGGCTTTTAAAACATTCTTTTTTTAAAAATTTATACCACACAGGTGGATCGCGAGGAACGTTATATGGAATCGCGCGGTGTTGTATATGCTCGAAATACGAAACATATGTGGGCGCATTGTGCGAGCATATAGGATCCATGCACCGACCAAAGCATATAGGATCCACGCCACCGCGCAGCAGTTCCTCTCCTCCCCAGGTCCTAATATTCTCTGTAAACTGAAAATAGAGTTCACCAATACAAATTTATTGAAAATTAATAAAAATGACAAAAAATAAGAGAAAATAAAAACATTAAAAAAAAAGAAAAAGCGAAAAAATTAAACATTTTGCCTCCTGGCTCGCTGAACTCCATCTTTTCGTTGCCTTTCTCCCTCTTTGCGTCCATTAAACGACCATCCAATCGAGAAGTTGATCTTGGTTGTTTTTTTTTTCTGAATGAAAAACTGAATAGACTTAGAACATTTTCGATAATTTTACTTATTCACACCGAAAATTTGTGTATTCTAGTACTTAGAAAACGAATCTGCTTGTGCAAATCCTATAAATTTATGGAGAGGGCTGAATTTTGTGTGAAGCGGTATCTCTAGCAGATTTTGGCACGTTTTTCATCATAATGTTTCAAAAGCTCTGAAAGACTGAAGTCATAGCCACAAGAGTAGAATGTTCATTGCAACTTCAGTCAAAAAAATTCGCAGGTTTTTATTTTTCTAAACATTTTCGAGCATTTCAACCACAAAATTCACTAACCTTTTCGTTTTTTCTGTCGGTGCTGCTTCTTTCACTTGTCGTGTGGCCAGTGCAGACGGTGAAGGTTTCAGCCGTCACCGAATCCCGAACTCCGATTCTAAAAATAAACTCATTGAGAAACTGAATACCATGCATGTTACGTACCTGTAGCTAATCACCGAAAACTTCTGGTTTTCAGCTTCAAGTAGACGAGCGAGGCGTTGAAATTCATCGGTGGGACTAAAATAACTTTTTTTGTGGAATTTATCGATAGAAACTTGAGGAAAACGGCTAGAAACGATGAAAATGAGTTTGCAAGTAAAAAAAGTAGAAAAATAACCAATGAAATCGTATAAAATCAAACAAAATATAAAATCAAACGAACAAAATAGGCAAAAATATCTGCAAATTCATCGAAAATCTGTGTGTAGATTTACGGTAAACAACGCGCGATGCGGGATATCGGAGCGTCGTTGTGCACTTCTTCAGGGTAATTACACAATTAAATCGGCCAAAAAATCCGATTCATGTGAAAATATAAAAAAATTTCACGTAAAAGAAGCAGACAGAGCATCAGGTCAATTTGTGCTAACATAGAAACCGCATTTTGACAAGCTTTTTTGAAGTAAACCTCGCAACACGGCCTGCAGAAAATGTTGAACTTCTCAAAGACAAAATTCCGACCAAGTTCAAAGGAATTCTTGTTCCAAGCCTAAAATCCAACATCTATATATGTTTTCCAAAAGGCAACATATGTCTTGGTAAACTATGATTTTAACCGGTTTTTTCGATAGTCAAACAGTCATACATAGAGTAACGTGTCGACACAGAGTCGTATCGATACAAGTGAAAAATATCTGAAAAATCGTATCGACGCAAGTCGGCACAGAGTCGACTTATGTCGACTTGTGTCGACTCGAGTCGACTCGTGTCGTGTCGACTCGCATATCGCGTCGACTCGAGTCGACTCGTGTCGTGTCGACTCGCGTGTCGCGTCGACTCGAGTCGACTCGTGTCGTGTCGACTCGCGTGTCGCGTCGACTCGAGTCGACTCGTGTCGTGTCGACTCGCTTGTCGTGTCGATTCATGTCGATACTGTATCGACTCGCGTCGACACGACACGACACTTCATTTTCAACGCGCTCTATTGAACAGTAATTTATTTAAGATAGTGAACTTTTTTTTTGTTTTATTTAGAAAAAAGTTAGAAAATGCGAGAAGAAAATGAAAAATTGAGTTGAATTTAGATTTATTGCAAAACACCAGTATAATAAAATACAAATTTAACCGAAAAATGAACCCGAATTACATTTGACCGAAAAAGTTTAAAAATTAATTATGAATTGTTTGGGCTAGGTGGACTGATGGGAGAGATCGGAGAGGCACTAGGAACGGACGAAGGAGAACTATGGGAGTTGATCAAGGGTTGCGGAGAGGCGCTCAAAACGGGCGGAGAACTAAATGAATTGATTGGAATGGGTGGAGGGACGCTTGGAACGGCCGAAGAATAACTGGCAGTATTGGCTGGATCGAATGAATTGTTGTTGTTGCCATCATCCTCATCGTCTATGTTCTCTTCGCTGGATTCTTCCGAATCATCATATCTCGAAGACCTTTTCTGTAAACGTTCAAACTGTTTTCTTTCTTTTGAGAACTCGTCGACTCACTCAAGGTCAGCTAAAGCGATGAATCATTCGATTTTTCAAAAAAATCCCAGGCAGGAGAGAGTTTTACACTCATTCTGTAAAAAAATTTAGAGTAAATCACGATTTGAAGCAGGAGTAAAGGTAGTAAGTAGAACATTATGTGATAGAATAATACGAATTTCAATCAGATATAACTGATAAACACCGGAAGATAAGTTTTCTACAGCATCACATTTAAGTGAATGTGGAAAATTTGAAGTAATAACACATAAAATACCAATAGTTGCAAAAAAAATCGATTTGTAGCGGAAAAAAAACAAAAAAAAAACAATAAACAGCGAAAACAGTCCCTTTTCCGAGAGGTGATTATTTGATGTATCAGTCCTGAAATAGTGGATTTTCTAATACATCCTTGATCCCACTTGCACATATGAACAAACCCATACAAAAGGACCGTTATTCAACTTGTTTTCGGGCTAAACGTCTACCTCAACACTTCGCTTCGAGTGTTGAAGGCTACGATCAGTCCCGGAAACACGAAGCAACGGTTTACAGAATAATAGCAATTGGTTTAGAAAGCCAGCAGTAGCCGGAAGAGAGTAGTCGCACATCGTGGAGATATGAGCAACTTATGCTGTTTAACTGCCCTTTTATACACTCGGAAAGCTCTGATGACAAAGTTGAGCTTGAATATTAAGAAGTGTTATAAGGTGATTAGCTGAACTTTTATGAAAGTACATGAT